AAAGAAGGATTTAAACTTACCTGTCATATTATAACACTGTGAGGATCAGATTGTCTAGTTTTGCCTTTTGCAAACGGTGAAATTACCTTCAAAATTTAAAGTAAAACAAAAGGTGGCTTATCTCTTTGCTCCATCGTGTCTGGGGCTTCAGCTGAGTAGACTCAAAGCCTGGGGATATCTCCATGGTTGAGGACTGGAGTGCTCCTGGGGCGTATTTACTGAAGTGGCTGATCGTTAAACTGGAACCACAACGAAGTATCCATACACAATTGCACTGCTGATAGTTAAACTGGAACAACTAAGTATCCATACACAATTGCACTCCCTTCATGAATACTGAGCTTCCTCTCAGGATGGCTGCTTCAGGGCAGTCAGACTTCAGGCCTCTCTGACTTTCAAATGCCTTCTCTTGCCGTAGCAAGTTGAAAGCTGTTTCATACTTTGTGGTCTGGCTCCCAAAGGCACACAGTATCACTTCTGTTGTGTTTTATTAGATACAGGTAAGTCACTGAGTCAGGTTCAAATTCAAAGAGAGGGGATACGCATCCCACCTTTTGATGGACGTCGTATCAAAGAATTTCCAGCCCTTTTTTGTTGTTGTTGTTGTTTGGTTTTTTGAGACAGGGGTTTCTCTGTAGCCCTGACTGTACTGGCTGTGGACAGTCAGGCAGATCTCTGAGATTAAAGGTTGCTGTAATCACCCTGAACTTTTATTTATTTATTTATTTATTTATTTATTTATTTTCTTTTTTAACAGTGGGACTTTCAAATCCCCACCCCACCCCCAAATACCAGATATCTAAAATTTGAGGGCAACTATCCTACGTTGCTTTCTACTGCTGTGATAAACACCACGATCAAAAGCAACTTGGGGAGAAAAGGTTGATTTCAGTTTTTAGGTTATAGTCTACCATGTACAAAGCTAAGGCAGGAACACAAGCGGAAACCTGGAGGGAAAACCAGAATGACCAGGAAGGAGTGCTGCTTAGTGGTCTGCTCCCTGGGCCTTGTTCAGCTTGTTTTGTTATTCATGAATTATTTATTTTTGCATTTGAAGAGCAGCTTTTGGGCTGGAGAGATGGCTCAGTGGTTAAGAACACTGACTGCTCTTCCAAAGGTCCTGAGTTCAATTCCCAGCAACCACATGATGTCTCATCTGTAATGGGATTTGATGCTCTCCTCTGGTGTGTCTGAAGACAGCGACAGGGCAGTGTACGTTAAATAAAATCTTTTTTTTTTTTAAAAAAGAGCCGCTTTTATTGGAGGAAGTAAACAAATATACAGCAAGCACAGAGAAAAAGATCCTATACAAAATTGATGCCGGGCTCCAGAAGCTGAAAATTCGTGTCTTCTTCAGGTTTCGGGCTTTTCAAGTTTCTGAAAGGTTCTCAGGGCTGGTCAGTTTGCAGAAAGATAGGGTGGTTGATTGGCCCACAACTATTGTGTAAACCTGTCCAGATCTGGCCTTGAAGTTGTTAAACCAGTCTATCAGCAGTGGGGCATGCTGGCAGGAGAAAAGCCCACAAGGCCTTTGTTTAAGCTGTGATGCTGTTGTCTCGGGTCAGCAGGGTGAGGAGGAAGACGCCAGCCATCTTGAAAGTTCGACATCTTTATTACTTAGTCATGGCCCTTCTCCCTGTGTCTGCTTACCAGGGAATCTGTCTAATTCCTGGTCCCTCATGCTCTCTCCTCAAAGGTCACCCTAACTGCTGGTAGGGTTTTGGGGGCACAGACTGTTCTCACCTGCTGTGAGCTGACAAAAGGGGTTAGACGTGAAGGGTAACAGTCAAAGTGCCTCAGAGGAGGCTTGATCTAAGGGCTCATGATAAAACTTAACCACTGGTGACAATCCAGAATGTAAAACAGCCTTTGGCAATACTGTATATTCTTTCTGTTTGTTTGTTTGTTTGTTTTGGTTTTGGTTTTTTGAGACCAAAAAAAAAAAAAAAAAACCCAAAAAACCTCCGTATAGCCCTGGCTGTCCTGGAACTCAGTCTGTAGGCCAGACTGACCTCTAATCTAAAATCACTTGCCCCTGCCTTCTGAGTGCTGGGGTTTAAAGGCATGTGCCACCACTGCTCAGCTGGTAGTGTATGTTCTTGAAGTGTGACATGAGAGATGTATCATCAGCAGTAGATGTCGCTGCCTGTGTACCAAATGTAATGTCCAGTAGAAGTGGGAGATATAGGGCCAAATCTGTGTGACTTGCCGATCCTACTTGTTAAAGTCTAATTACATCAGCATCTAAGTGACAACTTTGATGAGTTGGTGGTCCTGGACCAGAAATCCTGGACAAGGTCTTGAAAATGTTACAGTCTAGGGATCTTTATTTGTTTCCTTTTTCTCTGCCAGTTAAAGAGTTAAAAGGCAGGAATGATCTTGAGCTTGTCTGGTAGCAGTAGAGAAATCTCGAACACAGACAACAGGAGCAGACAGGATCAGCGGTTGAAGACAGGCCTTTATTGAGGTCGAGGAAACACACACATACAGCAGGAACACTGTTAGTTAACAAAACTAACCAAAAAAAAAAAAAAAAGATGGATGAATGGAAAGTAACAAGAATCCATCTTAAATGGATCAGGCCAGCCATCTTGTGAAGAAATAATCTTCTTGTAAGACATGATCACTGTATAGATTGATGCTGATAAGGATATTGTTTAAAATGGAACTATGGAAAATGTCTTAGAGGCAGGGTGTGGGGGTGCACGCCTTTGATCCCGGCACTCAGGAGGCAGAGGTCGTCAGATCTCTGAGGGTCAAGTTCTAGGACAGCTTGGAAGGGCTGTTACACAGAGAAGACAGACAAAAGAGAAATGTCTTAGAAATTTGAATGTTATAAAGAAATGTTATAATGATACATTCTTAGGAAATAATTTCCTAAAGTAAACTAGGACAGTTAAGGATTAAAAAACAACAGCCAACAACACACCAAACCCCAACAGTTGTGTTTCGGACAAAATCAATGGGGAAGTGTTCCTTGACTGGTTGTTGGCCCTATTTTAGTTTGCTTAGACATTATGTATTTATGGTTAAAAAAGAAAGTGCCTTGAACTAGCTTAGCTTGATAATACAGTCTCTATAATCATCTTCACTCACATCTGTCAAACCATCTTCTGACTTAAACGTAGTTCTCAAATCCCTACTTGGAAAAGAATGTACAATGTCATTGGCAAACACACAATAGCTAATTGATTGGTGGCATTCTTTTTCAATATTCAAGAGCCCAATGCTTTGATTCACCAAGCAACCGCACAGACGCTGCTTACCTTGAAACAAAGTATCAGTTCTCAGGCTTGTGGCGACCAGATCAAATAGGCAGACTTCCTGTTGTCAGAAGCTTTCTACCTCTCAATTCATCCTAAATGCAATAAAGAGGTTAGCGGCGACCCTCCCCCTTTCCATTAATATAAGAGCACACATGTACACACAGGCAAATCAACTCAAGCATTCATGTTGAGTTAAACTGGCAATGACTGCACGCTATTGGCACTTCGGTTTTTCACTCCTGTTTTCTCTTTTTTTTTTTTCTTAACACACTTCCTCTCTCCACTATTCCCTTCTTTGAGTTAAATATACTTTAACCATGTAATTTATATAAAGAAATTGATTTTTCATTCTGCAACTTGGGCTTCTCTAAGATAGTTTAATTCTCTTCTCCCATTTTTTTCCCATATATAGTTTGAAAAGAATGCCTTGGACCAGGGTCTACAAAATATTTTAAATGATCTTCTTTGTAATAAAAATTAGTTTTGACGTATAAGATGTCTAGAACGGCCATATGTTTTCCTCAGGCCCTAGTGCATGGAAGGAGCCAATTGATATTGGCTAGTGACTGAAGCTAGACAACAAATACACTGAACACCGGGTTTAGATTTTCATTTATACTCACTTCAACAGATCAAGTTCTTTAGGGACAGGTTACAAACACCTAACTGAGATTTTAGCTGCTCCAAGACATATTTCTATGCAATTTGGCTTGGTTCATGTTTCAACCTTGGGCTTTCAGGTCTTATTTTTACAACACCCAGAGCTTCTTTGTAATGGCAGTAACAAGTAGTGTAGACTTCCCTGCCTTCTTCCCACTAGGATTTTAACTTCTTTTAGAACACCACCCCTGCTCTTCTAGTAAATCCCACATGACAGAACAGGCTGGGGACGGAGGAAAAGTAGGAAGCCGGAGCCATGGAAACTGTGCGGGTAGAAACGTGTGAGCGCGAGGGTGGTTGGAGGAGAAGGAACACTCCCCTGGCGACAGCGGCGCGAGGGTGCTCCTCGGATGACGTCACGCATCCCGGTGACGTCACGGCCATGACATCGGGTGACGCCGTTGCCGCGGCGACTCCTCGTCGTCTCCGCCCCCTCCCCTCCAAATCCCCTCAGGCTCGGCTGCGCCGGGGGCCGCCGGCGGGTTCCAGAGGTGGCCTCCGCCCGGGCCGCTCCGCCCACGCCCCCCGCGCCTCCGCGCCCGCCTCCGCCCGCCCTGCGCCTCCCTTCCCCCTCCCCGCCCCGCGGCGGCCGCTCGGCCCGGCTCGCGCTTCGAAGATGGCGGCGCTGAGTGGCGGCG